TGTGTGTGTGTGTGTGTCTGTGTGTTTGTGTTTGTGCGGCAGAGTGCGTGGAATGGAGTGGTGCTGGTAGTATTATTAGTATAGGGGATTGGGAGTGCATTGTATTACAATCTGGTATAAATAATACAAAGAAATAGCTCTCTGCGATGCCTCTGCATCAACTCGGTGCTTTTTGGTTTTATATTACAAAATATTCTGCTTGAATATCTAATTATAAAGACAGTTGCTCTACATTACTTGAATGAGTCTCTGAACTTTTCATTTCACGAGGGCGTTTACAAAAATAACTCCTTTCATACCCAAAACGGATCTAACAGATAACACTGAGGTTATACATAATATATCATTATAATTACAACTATTTGCCTGGATACCTGGAGGTGTCATCTCTTGCTCAGAGATTGACGTGCAATGACCCACTATTGCTTACGGTCGTTAGCAATTACATTATACATAATTCAAAACATACATTCACGATAGATTATCTGGAAACGTTATCATGTTTTGATCCATGACGTTTTGTTTGTAAACTCGCCTTGCCTTGTCCCATTTTTTCATTTTCCCTACCATCTTTGGTTTAAAATTATAATTATAATCTAGACTCCGTTTAAAAGCTGCGAATACATGCTCCAACGACAACATAAACATTGCCCCCCTGCCAATTTGTCCTCAAGTGGTCAAATTTGATTCCCCCTCCCCTGATAAAAACATTTTTCCCTTATGGTATGAACGAAAGTTACAACAGTGTTTTTAAGTTATCTGATAGCTAATTTTCAAAGGAAAGTTTATACTGTAGGCTATGTTTCTATTTTGATGCTGTTCTTTTTTATTTACTGTTTCTGTACTTATTATTCCTTACTGAGAGACATCCTGAGATCTTGATCCTGGCACAAGAGAATTACGAAACCTGCGAATCAAAACAAAATCGAAAGTCGTACACGAACACAAAGTAGTTTTCGTTACAAGTGACAAGGCAGAAATAATATCTTCTTAGATCTAGATCTAGTGTGTGATGCTCAATGCTCGTACTTTACAATGAGTGTTTGTATACCGAAATAAGTACACGAAATTCGAGAGAACAGCAATATGATGACTGCAAGTGATCAGAACTTTGATGATTTTGATTTTGCCAAAAGGCTTCAAGAGGAATATGACCGGGAAGCAGCAGCTCATCTCGACAGCAATGAGATAACCTCGGACATCAATACCAGAGATCACAATGGAGACAAGAAAATCGCAATTTCCTCCCGTCCTCTGGACTTAAATGGAATGTCACCCGTTGATCCATCTTTAGAAATATCAGATCCAAATCCTGATATTCGCGAACTCTTTCTCCAGTTTAATGAGCAGTTTTTTTGGGGCAGACTATCTGGAATCGAAGTGAAATGGAGTCCTCGGATGACCCTGTGAGTAGGCTGATATATATATATATATATGCAGGCATTTCAGGCACCACTTGTGGCGATTGTTAACATTCCCGCGTTTAATTCTGATGTGCGTTTTTCATACCCTCAGGCATATTTCACTTTGGTCCCTAACCTTAACCCTAACCCTAACCCTAACCCTAACCCTGGCCCTAACCCTAACCCTAACTAGGGTTAGGGACCAAAGCGAAATATGCCTGAGGGTATGAAAAACGCACATCGGAATTAAACGCGGGAATCTTAACAATCGCCCCACTTGTTACTTGTCTTTATACTTTATAGCAATTAATAAATACATTACTTGCCTGTAATTATCTACATATAACCTTATATGTTTGCTATAACGAGCACTCGGATTCAAGGAGATTTTAGTTCAGGCCCGGCGACCTCGTTGAATCGGAGTTCCACTGTACTATGAAATAGATAGAGGGTTAAAACGTGTTAGGGTTTTGGTTTGGGATAGGATTAGCATTAAAGTTTGGGTTGGGTTAGCATTAGTTAAGGTTTGTGTTAGTGTTAGGGTCAGGTCTTTTCTTCATTTGTTGTGGTGGTCGCTTGTAAATGGTTCGAAGTCCTTTCAGGGCTTTCATGTCACTATACAAGTTATAGACTATAGATAGGGTCTAGGGTAATAAAAACTATTTGCCACTTTTACGTCACCATCTACCAACAAGCTGAGTTGCAGGTGGTTGGTAGGTGCTCTGATGCCGATAATTTGGTTTGCTCTTTCTTTACTATGAAACATGTAGGCAAATTTGATATTTTATTACGTTCCCTTCTCATGCTTCTAGGTATTATATAGCACTTTTCTTGTTCATTTTTATCCATTTTACACGAAGATTTTAAAATTTTACTGTATAATATCTGTCGTAAATTATTAGTTTTGGTAATATTTAAAGATTTTTACAGTGGAACTCGGATTCAACGAGGTCGCCGGGTCTGACCTAAAATCTCGTTGAATCCGAGTGTTCGTTATAGCAAACAAGAGGTTTTGTGAAGATGATTACAGGGACTGAACAAACTGTATAAAGAGAAGTAAGTAGTGCCTGAAATGCCTGATATTATGAGCTGTGTAAAAAAAGACAGATTCGTTCAAATGCACTCCTGTGTCATCTCGATTGTTTACCACAAAGTTGTGTTGCTGTGTAGAGCCTAGCATACAGCAACTTTTGATTTCATAGACAAGCGCACAGTTCATTACGAAAATCTACGTCAAGACTGTATATAGCTTATCATTGTAATAATGATCAGTTGCCGAGGGAAAAAAAAGACTGACGCGTTTGTATCTGCGACATTCAACGCGTGGACCGCTTGTGCGCCCCCCTCCCGGACACACTGACACACACAGTCACACCTGTGCAGGCCGCCCATCCGACCCCGACACACGCCAGAGTAGACACGTGCGCGAGCCAACAATGCATGTGTTGGTATGAAAAAAGGCCGCTGATTGGTCACATGCAATCGGCTAAGTGAATAATGGTTCACGATGCAGTTGCAATGGATGGTTTCCCGGAATAGATAAAGTTTGTTATGGGAGAAAAATGAGCGAAGCCATATCTGCAGGGGCTGTTCACCCTGGAAGCGACCTCGTTGAATCCGAGTTCGCTGATTTAAAAGTGCTTGTTGAATCCGGGTTTTTTTTTATTGATTTTAAAGAAGAAAAAAAACGGGGAATTTATCTCATCTGTTGAATCCGAGTTCTCGTTGAATCTGAGCTCATTGAATCGGAGTTCCACTGTATTCGAAATTGTAAGACAAAATTGTAATGAAGGAATAGAATGAAAAAGACAACACACTTACACCAATGAGCGATGATTCACTTCCCAGTGATACCAACTTTGCGGTTAGCACGATGTCATTGTCACCTGTGTGTGTGTGTAGATATATGTGTACGTATGTGTGTGTGTGTGTTCGTAAGCCTGTATGTATCTTGTCGCTACACACTATATTTTATGCTAAGCCTCTAAATGCTAAGTAATTTCCATGCTTTAGAAGAGTCAAGGGGGTTTCAGTCCCCTGAGGTTAAAAAAACCTCTAGAAGTAGGTTCCCATGGAGCACAGCACCCTCATGGCAACTGTGCACACTGTGATAGATAATCTCTCTTTCTCCCACAAGTGATTCTGTGAGCTAGTGCTTGTTGCAGATTTGCTTACCTTCGGCCCATCACATCTCCCCCACCATTGTCTAGCAGATTTCAGGTAACGTAGGTTTGACAAGTAGCCTGTGTTCTGGCAGTTCATGTAGCCTAATTTTCAGTTAGAATTTACGTGGTCATGACGTAACGCTGACCTGGAGCTGTACTTGGTTGGTTGTTGTTTTTTCTCGGGGCACGACAATCGTACAAGATAAATATATTTTATTTTGTCTCACTTGATACTCAAAAATTTGTTTATGTTTGTTTGTACTTTTTTTCTTCTTAGATGTGCTGGACTTTGCGTGTATGAAGGCAGAGGGGGACTTTGTTCTGTTCGTCTGAGCCTTCCTCTTCTCAAGTTGCGACCAAGAAAGGATTTAGTGGAAACTTTGCTGGTAAGAAAAAAGACAAAGTAATGGGTAAAATGAAATGCAAAATTGGCTTACTTGTGACCAGAATTTTATTACGGGTTATCAGTGAAGGAAAAATATATTCACTTTCAAATTTCAGGGCAAAGTTATAATTAGTACTTAATATACCCAACAATAGTGCACACCAAAGGATGCTTGATAGAGTACAGAAACTTAATGTTCTGAATGCAACTTTTTGCTCCATCTCTCAGACTTTGTTATTTGTTACCTCAAATAACTTGTTTCCTTTAATTTTGTGCGGAGAGGTTTATTAAAAAAAATTAATATTAAAAGGGAAATTATAGCCCTCTGAAAAGAGGTGCGATATGTTCTTAGGAGAAGAAAGGATGGATGGTTTGGGAAATTTACTTCAAGCTATTTTGGGTTTTCATTGAAGTTGAACATGCGCAGATGTTAACATTCTCTCTTTCTTTCTCACTTTCTCTCTCTCTCTCTGTCTGTCTGTCTGTCTCTCCTCTCCTCTCCCTTCTCCTCTCTCTATCTCTCGCTCTCTTCTTGAAAAAGAATACTTTTTAAATGACTGATGGCTTCAAAAGTTTACAGCTTTTTACATTGTTTTTATTTTCAGCATGAAATGATCCACGCTTTTCTCTTCGTCACAGACAACAACAGGGTAGGTTTCATTTTTGTTTGCATCCTGTGTTTTAGAGAGAAGGCACCCCCCGGGGCAGTGCCATTGACTGTAGTGTCTTTAGGCCATTCCCAAAGGGGGGACATTTCTCGTTCAAGCACAGTAGAATTGTAAATGGGCTGATTCATCATGTCACGCTCGTAACGGTGCCTGATCTGCAACAGGGAACTGCTGCTTTTTCTTTCCTAATCCTTCCTATTGTCTTTTTCCTCTACTTCTTTTGTATGTTTGTCACACTCTTGTGAACTGCTATTTCCGGGGTGCCTTGATAGCCGAAGCAGACTTTGTGCTGTTGAAGCTAGAGAGGTGAGCAGAGTAAGTCTGATTCAATGTAAGGACTTCTCTGTTGACACCCACCCCTTGGTGCTTCTATGACCTTATGCAGTTGCGAGCGCCGTAAAACCCTCTACTAAAAAAAAAGGAAAAGAGAGAAGGGTTTGATACTAAATGTATCGGTCTGATAAACTATCAAATGTGTAGTTGAAGAAGTTGTTTTTAAAAAAAATCCTTTCATGAGACACTTTCTGATGATCATATGTATCTATTGTCGTAGCAGGTCGTTGGAGATAGCACTGGTCAGTCTGACTTTTTTGCTGTCCCTCTGTTATTTCTGTCGTAAGTCTTGCTTCTCCTCCAGCAATTTGTGACTTACTGTTATTATCATGTCAATATATGCTTTTCCTTCTTTGTTTTAGTATTTTTTATTTTTATGGCTCTTGCAGCACAATGACGCCATAATAGTGCTGAATATGCTTCTCTTGAGCTCAAATTAAGACTTTTGTTCTCACGACTTATGAGTGGGAAATAGAAATAGGTTTTATTGTAATTAATTCCTGTCCTAAATTAGTATGGTCATCTGTTATATGTTTGCATGGCTGCTAGGGGCAGTAGATGCTCTGCATAACACCACCAGGTTTGATAAATATGTCTAGAGTAATAAAATGTCGTAAGGATAATAAAAGTCATCTTGTCATTGCATTGTTAGACTGCTTGATTCTTTGTTTTTGGCGGTGAGGAAAAGTCATGGGGAAGGGATATTCTGTAACTCTTCTTGAACTTTGAACTTCATTTTTATGTTGCAGGATCATGATGGTCACGGCCCGCAGTTTCAGGGTCACATGAAGAGGATCAACAAAGCCACCGGTGCTAGTATATCTGTGAGTGATGAAATTCAGTACTAAGAAAGGCTGTTGTATTTTTAATGATCTTCTTTTTAGAAATGGTCATGTTATCTTAAAATGTCATGCTTTAGTACCTACTCAAATTTTTCCTTTTTGTTATTATTTTTTTTTACACTGGAAGAGTGCTTACTGTCATAATATTTGATTAAGTTTAGTTAACTCAATCAGTGAGGGCTCAGGTTCTCTCTTTCTCTCCCATCTATAATAATAGTTTGTCTGTCCATATTTGATGATAACCAATGCATCCGCAGAGGAGAATGTTTCTTGAACAAAATAGAAGGAATAAGAAGTAAGGTGACCATTTGTTTCTGCTATGGCCAATGAGACTAATTCTAGTTACCGTTTAATTGACTAAAATGAAATATGTGTAGTGATAATTCCTGTGGCTGAAATTGAGTGGAGCAATTCACTAAATTTTGTTTTGAATTTGTTTTCTTGTAGCATGATAGTTATTATGTGAGTAGCTCTTATTTGTTTGAGGGCACACAGTTAGTGAAAGCTTTTGGTAAGTGGTACCCTCTGACGACTTCACTCTCTCTTTGTTTCTACAGATTTACCACACATTCCACGATGAAGTTGCATCTTACCAGCAGCACTGGTGGAGATGTGATGGGCCGTGCAGAAAGCGGCCACCGTACTTTGGCTACGTGAAGCGGGCCATGAACCGTGCCCCCTCTTTCAGAGATTTTTGGTGGGCAGAACATCAGGCTTCGTGTGGCGGCAGCTACACCAAGATCAAGGAACCAGAGGGATATGGGCAGAAGAAGTCAACCAAAGGAAAAGGGAAAGATGGTGAGAAAAAAATGTTGTTAGTTTTAAGTAGCCTTAAACATGACTAGACATAAGGGTCTTGAACATCTACCTTCACTGGCAAAACTGAGGGCAAGCAAGGCAGGGGTAGGCCCAGACCAACATAGTTAGGGAACTTGAACAAATGGGTAACAGGGAGAGATCAGGGAAACATAGTTTTTTTGAGAATATCCGAGCAAAGGAATGAATGGAAAACCATGATCGCCGATGTCTGTCGCAGATCTGGCACTGGATGATGATCATGAAACATGAATGTTGGTATCATTTCTTCAGAGCACAATGGATCTATACCTTTCTTTAAATCATGGAGTTTTTATTTACATTGGAGTACTGTTATTCTTGTTGTCCTTTCAGTTTTTAAAGGTTGTGCCGTTTTAGTTGTTTTTGAAAAATTGTTTAGCCTCCTGTATGTTTTATTTGCATAAGGAGCAGAAAATTGTTTTGCATTCTAAAGTTAATGGTCACTCATAAAAATGGGAATGTATGTGGGTTCTTTGCAGGTGTATGTATTTCATTTGTAAGTACAGCTGAACCTGTTCTGATGGCCACCTGTTCAAAACAATCATCTGTATAAATTATAAACAAACGCTTCCCTTGTCCCCGTTGCATTTTTAAAATATTAAAATGACACTGTGGAAGACATTCATCTTTCATTTCTAAGATGACTACTTCTGAGTCTGAGTGTACACATGTATCGAATTCTTCGTTTCTGGATGTTATGTAAAATCAGTGAATAGATATTTTATACTCAAGAAATGTAATTTGTACCGTTTGCATATGGCTCAGTATCCTGTTTGCTCACTGTTTTGCTTGAAGATCATTTCAGTATGGATTGTAAAATGTTGTGATCTCAGTAACTTCTTTTGGTTTTCTGTCAGAGTACTTCTGTCTAAAGAGTTATGTTGACAGTACAATGTTATCTGTACGTGGCACAATATTATTGTCAATGGTCCATCAAATTTACATATGCACACCCAGACTTGGTTCGAGTCCAATTCAGGGGCTCAATGAAATATTTTCATAATTTGGGCTTTCTCTCCTCTATTTGCAGATCATTCTGATGGAGCTTCTAAAGACATCCGTTCTTTTCTCGGTAAGGGAAAAACCTTAGGATCATCTGGGGCAAACTCTAGTAGAAACAGCAGCGCCAGTTCTAAACCTGCAACTAATGGCAAACATACTTCGTCCAGTGGAAAGAATCCTTCTAGTCTCTTCTCTTCTGTTGTTTCTGGAAGCAGCAAGACAAACGTTCCAGATGAAAAGGGAAAGAAATATGTTCTCGTTAATGGTGTTTTAGTGAAGCGAAATGACCTTCGTGACAGTTCACACCCAGCTGTTCAGAACAAACCACATACTGCTGGGACTAACGCTTCCTCATCCTACTCTTCTTCATCCTCAAAGAGCACTGCCAATGGTCAAATGAATGGAGGTTGCTCAACATCCAGTAAAAGTTCCAATGGTGCTCACAGTGAAGACTGGCCTGATGATGAAGATGATTTGTGGGTGTTTGATATAGACGCCTCAGAGCCTGTGCCAAAGACATCCACAAAACCTCCTCCTCCTGTGTCTCAGAAGAAAGGTTCCGAGTCTTTCATAGATTTGACCAAAAGTGAATTTCCTCATAGACTTGGGAAAAAGCATAGTAAAGACGGTGGAAAAAATTGGAAAGGACATAGTGGTGTCCGGAAATTTGTCAGTGTTTGTGAGGACAAAAGCAAGGAGACACAGTTTTTTACAAAAAAGAAACCACGAATAAAAAAACATTATATATTGGATGATCTTGATTCTAATGAAGGACTGTGGGAAGGGGGATATTCACCAAACAAAATTAAAAAGGAAATTGGAGAAGCTGGTAATAGAAGAAATCTCAAATCATCATCTCCTCATCATGTAAGCAAAAGGTCTGATGATGAGAGAAACAGGTCTAAGGATAAAAGCTTATCCAGAAGTTCCAAGTTTGTGGACAAGAATGAGTCAAAGTCTGGTCTTTCATTTGAAGAAAGAAGAAGGGATAATGAAAGTAGAGATGAACGGAAACATGATATTTCTGCAAAAACATCTTCTATGTTCCCAAGAGAGACAAAAGTGAAGACTGAGAGCGTGAAAAAGGAAGACGATTTTGAGGATTATACGGGTACTAGTTCATCCAAATTTCATAATTGGAAGTCTTCTGATTCCAGTGAAAATAACCTTGTCTCTCAGAAAAGCTTTGTTGACAGCAAAAGTTCTTTTTCAGGTCAGGGTTTTGTGTTGGGTAGTGCCTCAGAAGGACAGTCGTACCTTTCTCAGATCAGGAGGACTTTTGTCAGGGGTCACGGCAGTTCCTCTGCCGGCCCATCGTCAGCAGGTCGCCTAAAAACTTCCGATGGTTCTATATATGCTCAAAGTTCCTTTTCTTCCCACTCGAATCAAGATTCAGAGAGCAGTGTCCTAACTTCTGGTAGCAAAAGAAAATCAGATGAAGCTTTTGGTCCTGGTGAGAGTGACAGTACTGGTGGAGAATTTCTGTCCGGTGGTGCCGAGGCAAAGAGGAGGTCAAATGTTTCTGTAGACGCTCGCCCCTCAGGGACAACGACAGAGAACTCCAGGCCGGGACAGACTGGTTCGGGCGGGAACAGGGAGGGCGGTGCTGGACCTCGGCTTGTCTCGTGTCCTGTGTGCTGTGCTGAGGTCCCCGAGAACGTCATTAATGTTCACCTCGATGATTGTTTGGAGTCCTGATTGTTGTAACTGTTTTATTGTCTTACTACTGAATAAACTGATTTTATTATGTAATTGGAATGTGGCTGCCTGATGGCAAGGGGTCTTACTAAGTAGGAAAAATAGTCACATGTAAAAAATCAGTTGACTGCAGGTTGAAGAACCGGCCGTTGACTGCCCCTGAGATCTGGTGGGGGAATATAAAGAAGAATGGGAATTAGGCGACATAGAATTTGGTGCGCTTCATTTAGGTTGCAGTTTTTCTTTGACTGTGTCTCTACTTTGGAACATATCAAGGAAATCAAGATCTGAAGGGAGGGAAGTAATATTTGGGTGGCAATCTATTTTCTCGATGTCTATGGTCATGGGACAGCTGTACCATGCATACTGCTTTAGTCATCATCTATAATGATGGACAGCTGAAGAAGAAGTGGAGAAGAAATTTTTTTCTTGGGGGGGGGGGTAGTGGTGTTATTTTTGACATTATATGCAAAGATTTGTAAGTTGATAATGCTCTTTGTGTGTTATTGCTCACTGGTTTGTTGATAATTATATTGGTAAATGTTATTTATACTAACTGCAGTCTACACACACATAGGGAAACTGGTGGGACACGAAAATCTTTTTGTTATTCACCAATCTCGCTATATACCGAACATGTTTTAAATGCTAAGAATGTAATACGTATGAGTAGGAAAGAAATTCGGGACCTGAAAATCTGTTCGCTATGTGTGTGTTTGCTCTACTTGTAAGTGCTTGTTCTGTGTAAGTTAGACTGTAAATGGTGCTCTTGGTCATTATGATAAAGTATACTCTTTATTACAACATCGTATCAGGTCTTGTGCTGTTGTTCATGTTTTATATCTAATTTAAGGAAAGAATCTAGCAAGTTGTAGACTTTTTTTTAGTACTTCCGTACAGGTCAGCCAGGGAACTCCGTGAACTTACAAGAGATACATTGTAACCAGGAAATTGATGTTATTGTATGACTAATTGTCTCTCTGAGAGTTTTGCCGTCTATGAGTCATTAATATGTTAGTTAAATCTAGCATGCACATATGGAAACATACACATGAAGGGAAGAGGTTTTCAGGTCTCACACTTTTTCTTGCATTTATTTAATTATTTATTCTTTTTATTTAAAACATGTATAATATTGCAAAATTCTTCATAACAAAAAGTTTTCCGTGCCCCCCCCCCCCATTTCACTATGTGTGCCCAGACTATTGCAAAAGACGTATTAATTTACAAGAGAGCCTCTCCATAAGATGTGCAAGTATGGTGCTGTTTGACAATAGACTTGCCAGGGATGTGGAATCTGTGGGGTTGAATCACACTCAGAGTGGTAGGTTTGAAATGTAATGACATTCCTGGAATGTTTCTGCTCTTGCCTTTGTTCTATTTGGGATTGAAATGCTAGTCCCCTAGAATTTTTGTTGTTGGACGATTATTACTTTTATACTAACCTGCTATAAGCTTGCACTGTATGCTTCCCTGGAAGTTGAGATTGTTTCAGAATGCTATCAGGTCTTTTGGGGTAATAGCATAGATTTTAAAGCGCATAAAGCTTGCTGCTGAGCGAGAATTTGCGCCATGCAAATGCTATCTATTATTATTACTTATTGGTTTAGGGCTTTGAGATCTCCAGCTGCGTGTTTTTCGGGCAGTATGAAATGTAACTCTCAAGAAGTGCCTGGTGGTAAATTGACGGTTATCCCAAATTAGTTTTTTTTGTCCTGCCTTTGTTTGAATGAGCAGTAACCTGCCGAAACGACAGCTGTCCGGATTTTGCGAATCTTAGCAGTTACCAACTTCTGGTGGGGAACCTGTTTTTTTCCCCCTCCTGATTTAAAAATGAAATTGAAGTCATGAGAATTGTTTGGAGTTCAATATTTCTCTTCTTTATGGTGGGGTTGTACGCTCCGTCTTTTAATCTTCCATGAATAAGCTTCAAATGGCATTAAAAAAGCCATGCCTTATTTCGACCTTGATACCAATCTACAATGCTGTATATCACCATCATGTGCTTTGAATAATCTTTTCTCTTGGAAAAAAAAAACCAATTTCCTTAACGGGTGATGATGGATGAAACTTAAGTTCACGGTTTTGTTCCAAGAATCATTTCTATGTGTCCATGTATCAAACTGTGTTCCAGGAATAGGTGAAGGTACAGTCATCATCTGTCACAGTTATATTATTGGTGAATGTGCACATATTTTGGGATGTGTATGGCTTAATTTGAAATTCACCTGAAAACCAGGCATTCAGTCAATGGTGTACATTGTAAGATCAACAGAGGAAGGAACTGTGGCTTTTAAAGGAAAACATATATATAGGGAATGTTGGCAAGATAGATAGGTGGTATTATATAACTATGGATCTCCATAAAGAGAAATTTGCTGTTGCATGGTTACATACACAGTCATGCCCACGTCGACACACACACATACACACATACACACATGCACACACACACACACACACACACACACACACACACACACACACACACACACCCACACCCACACCACACACACACACTACACACACACCACACACACACACAATATACACACAGAGTCATTGGATGGACACATACAAAATTATGTTATTTCAAACACCAGACAAAAGATGTCAAGCTGTTCCATAACCATGTGGCGTTACTGTTTGAAGTGAGTGGAAACATTTGAGCTGCCCAACTATTGTCTGTAGACCTGGCTCCTCCAGACTTCTCTTACACCTCTAGCTAAAACATGTGATAGAACAAAGCTTTGAAACATGCCATGATGTCTTAATCATGTAAAAAAAGGTTAAAAATGTTGGTCATTGTTTACTGATACTGATAGACTTTCATTGGTTGTTCAGTTGGAGAAATGTGTTTTTGTAGTTTAGGACAGCCTGTAAAAATAAAATCTCTTCCTACCATGTAGCAAGACTTTTTTGTTTTGTAATTCAGTAAGTTAAGAGCATATTATGATCTTCTAATATATACATATTAGATCTATATATGCAGAAATGATTTTGTATTTTATAGGTTTCTACTTTTCATCAAAATAAGTTTCCTTTGTGGTAAGAAAGCATTTTTATTTTTATGGAGTTATTTCCAGTTATTTATAAATATTATATTATACCTGGACACATATTCATATATATATATATGTTCAAATTTTTAGCCTCGCTTTCCACAGTCTATGTTTTGGCTACATTCATGTCGCAAAAGGTGTCCATGATAACATATGAATTTCCAATTTGATAGTATAATGAAGGAAAATTGTATTTTCTGTTGCCTTATTGTCATGTATTACTTGGAAATGTATTTTGATGAAAATTTTATGCTCCGCTTAAAATATACAGTAAAACCTCTGTATCACATACACGGCTTAAAACATACTATTGGCTGTGATGTTCACTTTCTGAAGCCCCAAGTGACATTTAGTATTTTCACTCTCTTTTGGTTAATAATACATACCTCAGCTAGAACGTTAAAAGTCTTTGGTCCGAAGGGAGTACGTTATACAGAGGTTTTACGGTATATTATTTATTATTTGTCTTGTACTTACATGTTTAGATAATAATTCATGAGCTCTCTTTGACCTTTGAGCCCTTACACACAGGTGCTTTTACCAATGAAATACATGTAATTAAAAATATGATTCTGAAAATGTGAATTGAATATATATGAGTGCCGCTGTACTTGTTGGTATGATTTGATGATGCTTTGTTTTTCCTTCTATGGGTTCTACACATGTAATTTCAATCATAGACATGGTTGAATGGTTTGGATAACAAAGTAGGCTTCTTGGATCTACATATTACATCATCATGAATTTTCAACGTTTTTCTTTGTTCAGAGAGTGTCATTTATGTTTTTGTGTGTTATTGTTATAGTAGTTTTTGTATAAGTGGCACCTGAACCCAGCCAGATCATGGGGTCTGCAGACTTGGTGAAAGGGAGAAGGGCCTCATTTACTTCATTTAGTTTAGTTCTAAGAACTTGAAGAAGGTTTGAAATCCTCTCTATTTCATTGGTATTTGTCCATGAAATCGTGAAGTCTCTTTTGCCACAGCAGGAGACTTCAAACTTAACAGTGGAACAAAGAAATGTCTTCTCTTTTCCATCTTCCTATCTCATGAATGAAGCTGGGGATCCAACAGGTAGGGTATATTTGACACTCTTATCTTTCCCCATTTACTTATTCAACATCAGGCCCGCTATCTGAGTTGCTGGTGCTCTCCGTCCCCATTTCAACCGTGTCTTTTCTTCTACTTCTATGTCATGAGGTTTGGCTTCTGTCTTCTAAATCGTCCCCAAACTATCATAGAACGATAAAAAGGCACATTATACACCTATTCCATCTTTCTGCTCCTTGCTAATACATGTATTAAGTATTAGTATTTGGTCCAACTTTTGCCCTCCCCCCCCCTCCTCCAAACACACACACAAGCGCATGGCATCTTTTTTGTTTGTCTCCTTATATATATATATATATATATATATATATATATATATATATTACATGTACCACTATTCATAACCCTTTTATAACAAGTTTGCAACTTGTTGAACAATCCAAGGATTTTTTAAATAATAAAGGGATACCGTAGATTCCCCCCACGCGCCGGCGCAGTCACTACCACATAGCCTACTCAGTTGGGTTTTCACTGCCTGATCGAGTTAACTTAGCAACTTAGGATTTGGAAAATAATGTAATGAATAATAAAACACACAACAATATTGATCCATATGTGGAAAAAAATTAGGTTACAACGGCAAGTACATTTTGTGTACATGTCAGTGCTTACTCAGCACAATTCAGAGCTTACGTCAACGTCACATACGCATATATATCCACTCTCTCTCTCTCTCTCTCTCTCTCTCTCTCTCTCTCTCTCTCTCTCTCTCTCTCTCTCTCTCTCTCTCTCTCTCTCTCTCTCTCTCTCTCTCTCTCTCTGTATATATATATATATATATATATATATATATACACATACATAGTATTACACAAATACGGACCCTTTTCCAAACTCGCCAGTGCTTGTCGCCGCAATGCAGGGTCATGTTTTAGACTGTCCCCGTCATTTTATGCAAGAAAATTTCTGAAATTATGCAAACTGAGCCCAAAAATGTATAATTATGCGATTCTGTTTTTTTAAAACAAAGAATGATAAAGGAAAATAATCAGAAATTATGCAAAAAAATATCAAAATTTGCTAAATTATGCGGGGTGCATAAAACCACGGGGACAGTTTAGAGCTAGCCAGGTGGGTGGTTGGAAGGTGCTCTGAATCACTCTGATGTGGTTTGCACTTTCTTTACTCTTAAATATCTATCGTCCTTATCTCTCCTCCTTTTTTGTATGTATGTGTGTACGTTACTCTCTTGTGACACTTCTAATCTTCGGCACATGCATGACCTAATTGTGTTGCAAGTGCCGTTAAACGCTTACTTGAACAGTTAGCTAGTGTTATTGTGTCCCAAAGGCTCACCCCAGTGACCAAACACCCGCTAAACGTTGTAGTATCTATGACATTGTGCGAGGATTTTCGTGAACCTAAGCTCACAGCCTCAGTGGTACTGTAACTGGAAGTATTATGTTGACAAAGAACAGTTCCAAAGATAATCTGGCGTCTGCCTAGATGGTACCAAAAAAAAGGAGGGGGGGGGGGGGTTATGAAGCATCCACGTGTTGTTCATTTGATGGGCGAATTTTTTAAAGTAGACGTTCCGTTGGCTACAATTCTGCGAAAGGGACTCATTGAGTCTTCTCGAAAAGAACTGTTCTAGTTCTAGACGCACATGATACGATTCCATGTGTACTATAATGCTATAGACTAGTCTGATTTACGTTTTAGTTACAAGTAAAATTTTATGGGATTGGTTTTTAGCCCATCGTCAACCCCCAGAGGAATATCTCCATAAGTTCCCGTAGCTGCTGGAGGGGACAACGCACGGGTGTCTGCTGGCCATTTCGGATAAAACATCCTCGTCTGCCCTTTGCTGTTGGAGAAATAAATCTCTCATCCGGCGAGTAGCCGGGCATTGTCCCTATTTGACTCATAGTCATAGCTCAGGGCTGAAGGTTATTTATGGGCTCCTCGATTCGCCCGATGACCACTTCGCTGACCAAGCTGAGTCGTTGAAGACGAAATACATTTTTTTAAATGTTTAATAGCAGTGACACATGGCTCAGAGATATGGAAAACAAACAGAGCAATGCAATCAACGGAAGAAATACGAAGCATTTAAAAAATAATTAAACGGAAAGAATTTATTTCAAATTATGAAGTGTTGGAAAGAGCTGGAATTGAAGATATTATCAACTTACTTTACTTTTACTTTTTTTCTTCCGCTTATACCGGCGGGTGTCGCGGGGAGACACAAGCGTCTGTCTGCAGCAAGGCGAGTGGCCTGTAGGAGGGACATCCCGTGAGCTCTGAGGGTGTCTGCCACAGATTCACTCCATCGTCGCCTTGGTCTATCAACATACGCGATATTATCAACACAGCCATGAAAAGAAGAAGAAGGCGATATTTATTTAGGACATGTTTTAAGAATGCCGAAAACGAGAATTCCCTATCAGACATGGTACAGGTCCAGTATTGGAGACCAACTGGAAAAAATGAAAAGAGGTAGATCTAGGTCTAGATAAACTGGAAGTTACGTCCACAATTAGGGATGAGGCAATCACCCAGTACCCAGGGCCTGGATGTGCCAAGACTGGAGAAGGTGGCCAGGGACAGGAAAGCCAAAGATTATCTACTACTAGATCTAGTAGAGAATCTTTGGGCAAGCTTGGTGTCAACTGCTCTCCTGTTTATTTTAGTAAGGTTTTACAGCGCTCGCAACTGCATAAGGTCATATGAGCGCCAAGGGGTGGATGTCAACAGAGAAGTCCAAACGGGAACCAGGCTTACTCTGCTCACCTCTATAGCCTCAGGAGCACGAAGTCTGCTTCGACAACCAAGGCACCCCAGAAATAGCAGTTCACCAGAGAGTGACAAACATACAAAAGAAGTAGAGGAAAAATAACAATAGTAAGGATGAGGAAAGAAAAAGTAGCAGTTGCCCCTATGTTGTTTTGGCTCAATGTTATAATGAGCATGACATTGATAAATCAGTCCATTTACAAATCTACAGTGCATAAGAACATGTTAATGTCCCCCCTTTGGGAATGGCCAAAAGACACTTCAGTCAGTAGCACTGCCCTGGCGCGCAACATGGAAAAGCGCAACCATTGCACCCACGACAACAAAACTGAAAGTCTCTTGACAAAAAAGAACAAGGTTTGAGGACAGCCTACTGTTGGCGTAAATACAATGTACATAATATATTCAGTCATTGAGGACGCACATATTATCCTAAATTTCTCCCAATCTGTCCTTCTCAATCTCTCTTAACAATAATAATAGATATCATTTGTATAGCGCAAATCCCCGCTAAACAGCAAGCTCTATGCGCTTCACAATCTATACTATTACGTATACCCAAGCAGACCTGAGAGCATTGTGAAACGACCTCAACTTTCTGGGAAGCATACAGTGCAAGCAGCCATTTACAGGCGCTAAAACACTAACACGCTATCATTACCCAAGCAGACCGGAGAGCATTCTGAAACAACCTCAACTTCATGGGAAGCATACAGTGCAAGCTGCCATTTACAGGCGCTAAAAAAACACCAACATACTCACAAGTTCTTTCGCTGTCTGTAGCCAGGTACCCATTCCAACCTGGGCGAAGTGAAGACAGTTCGTGTAAAGTGCCTTTCCCAAGGACACAACGTCGGGCCCGTGGCTCGAACCCCCGTACCCGCAACCTCATGATTACGAGTCCGGTGGCCTAA